CCCGACGATCCAAACAATTCCAGTGAAGGCTTAGTAGGAACATCTGAGTGGCGCCGTGTCCACTTGGAAGTGGCGGGCAAGGCTGGCATAGTGAAAGCTTCCGGAACACTGGGAGACGGGAAATCGCTGCCTTGTCTCGGGGAAAGGGCACATTGGATATGGCTGAAGCAGGCACATATTCGGATTGAGAGCCCTGCCTTGCTTTGAGTCTGATTCGCCTCCCATGTCAGCTAGGGTGGATCAGATTATTGAACCACATTTTACAGCACCTATAACGTTCTGGAGCTATTCGCTCCAGCCATCAGTAATAGCAAGGATTTCGTCTACCAAAAAGACGCCAGTTTTAGCCACAGTATGCCATCTATCATTGCCAGTCGATAGATGACATGCTTTGTTCCTTGTAATATACCATGTCTATATGTGCTTCGACACAATCTGCATATTCTATTGATCATAAATTAACTTACTCCGTACTTCAATGCACACTAGGGATCCGAGGAACAAATCCATCCATTTAGTTATATTATTCTCGTCAACCACAAGCTTGACGTCGGTCACTATGCACAAATCTATGCTCACCGAATATCATAAGCACAATAAAGGGGTCCTAATGAATAGAGGAACCTGATTTCGAGAGAATGCCTTTTGGTTGCGATATGCATACAAACATAGTATTTTATGGACAAATCCGAGCCGTTGCTTGCATACGGTATCTGATGTGTTTGTTTGTCTAATCTAGGGCAAGCTGCGCCGGTCGGTACAGTACACTCTCCCGTGAAAAGAGTGAATAGTACACAATCATTACAGGATCTCATAGGCGTGACAATCATTGGAATAATGTATATCGTCCCTTACCTATTCCAGGATCTTACCAATCAGGCTGTAGTGCTCTAGAGCAGAGCGGCAGTATTGCTCTCAGCCGACTAGCTTTCTATTGCATTGCTATGCATGCAGCGAAAATCATTTTTAACTGCAAATCTACTGACTGTAAAAGTAAGATTCACGACCCGCACCGGGTGATTCAACTGACTCTAGCCCTGCAAATTTTTGAACATTTTCCATTGTACTAGCGATTACTGAGATTGTTAAGAGTCCCCGTGCTCATCATCCTTGATCCATGAATGAACTGTGCAAATGACAAAGCGATATCAGCAATGTGCTATTGAGAACCGGTGATTAGAAATTGGATTGATTGTTTGGATAGTGCATGCGTTTAACAGTAACAAAGAACGATTTGAAGTGCAAAACGATTGATAGTATAGTGACAAACTAGTAGACCGTCTACGTAGGAGAGGTCACTGCGAGACCCTGCCTAGAATCGTATGTGCGCAAATAGTAGCTACCTGGGATTCAATACAACTAAACCTTCAAGAGACCTCTCTGTCTAGGCCGCATCTTCACGCCAATATATATTCCACGATCCCAAAACTTGAGCCGATATGCATAAAAAGTTCGAGACACAAGCAAGTAAACAAAACCTGATATTGCTCGCTGCATCAACCAGATTTGCACGAATCAGTTCTGGAACTATGGCCTCCACAGGGTTTTTCGGTCTCAAGCGCCATAATAATTGGAAACAGAAGTGGGGTGTGAATGGCCCAGAAGAGCAGACAGATGCGGTCATCATCGTCGGCAACATCAGAATCCCGGTGCACAATACGATCTTGGCGGCCGGTAGTCAATATTATCGCCAGTGGCTCGCTATCCGGCCGCGAAAGACCGAGATCCCCGAAATCCAGCTCCATTACGTCAATGTCCACACCGCCTGGAGAGCAATAGAGCTGCTATACTGCCAGAGCTACACACTCAAGCCCTGTCCGTATGCCGAGCAACCTGGTGTGTTCCTCTAACTTATTGCCCACACCAGCCATTGAAAATAGCTAATCACCAAACAGATAATAGAGGGCCCCTAGATCAGAGGGCTGCCATCTATCAATTATCCGAGTACCTCGGCTTATCACAGAATTTGCAGGATATCGCGTTCGACTATTATCGGCGAGCGGTGGAGAAAGACTGGGAGATCGAGGATTTCTTGACCTCCATAAACGTCATATTAAACCCTGTTCTGCAGTTGGACGTCTTGGTGTCCGCCCAGAAAGATGAATTGCGGGAGAATCGAATTGTGGTTTTAATGTTCCATCACCTTCACAAGAGACGGGTTCTTTTTAAGAATGACTATCTCCTGACCTTGCATCTACAGACTTCACAATTCTTCATGGACCTGTTTGTGCGCTCCTGGGCAAGTTATGGTCGCAATTGAGCGGGTGCACAAAATGGATTGGAGTGTTCTCTGGAATGCGAAGAATCAAAATCAAGTGACAAGCCGGCCGAGATCTGGAAACCGTGCAAAGTAAGAGATAGATGCAATTCACATAGATCTTGACGGATAGTATGACGGCAGGAACTCCCTGTCTTTTGAGGAAAATACTATATTCTGCAAGATAATCGTTCTTACTGCAGATCTCTAGTATAGTTCCTGGAATTCCTTAATTTTGAGTAAAAAAGGTTCCAAGAACAGTCTTGCAGCTGCTAATGGGATATATGTCCAACATCCTAAGTGCATAATATACAGTAATTCAAAAAATCGATTGCTGATGGTCATGATTTCAGCAGTAGTTCCTTCAGTTGAGATCAGCTAGTTCGCAAGCAGTAGCATAATGAAGGCTTACACGCCGATCAAGCCCTTACAATCTTTCCCACATACACATTGAAGTTATAATATCTGCTCTGATTTTGCACCGCCAGGTCCCCCTGTCCACTCATGATAGTCTGCCCATTACGACTCACGGTGAACTTCTGCGTTCCCATACCCATAGAAACATTGGAAGTCACGATCCCAGCAGGTACGTCAATTCGCACTGGCGCATTCGACCCGCTAGTCACTATAAGTGTTGCAGGGCTGGTCAACATGGTCGCTACAAAGATGCTGTCACTGAGCATGGAAATTCCGTTCGGAGGCCGTAGGTCATCCTGCGGGCAAAGCACGCTTTTCGGGGTGGCACGGTACCAGTACACGAGGCTATCCTTATCGAGTCTCGGGGTGGCGGCTCCGGACTTAAAGGCGGCGATGTAGGGCTGATACAAATCCCGCCAGGCATCGTGCGGCATTCCTTGGGCCCACTCGGAAGAACCGTCATCGTTATGATTCGTTTGGTATGGGCCAATATAATGCGATTCGCCGTAGTCTGGACTTCAGTGTAGGTATACAGACGCAGAAAGGAACTTGGTATCGGCTGGCTCACCGATAGTGAATGAGTGTGCTTACCATTCCAGGAGATAATTTCAACCAGATCAGGGCGAAGAGTAAGTATCTGCTCCCACCGCAGTGTCGGAAGGTTCTCACAAACGAAGACCCAATTCTTGCTGTCGAAATGGGTGGCGAACCAGGGCGAGACGGCTACGGCTGTGTCAGCCAAATCATACCACATTTGCGCATGCATGAAAGGATTTTGTTGAGCGTACGCGCCATGTATGTTGTCCCTGCGAGATTACTGATAAATCGATCATCCCAGACCGTCGTCATGGGACCCTTGACAATGCTATTATCTCCATTCGTTGGCCAAGCGTACCACGAAAATGCCCCGTCCACAGATCGAACCCTGTTGCTGAACGCGGATGCCGGGTCCTGAAGGTTTGCAATAACATGGATCGGGTCCAAGGTACCTTGCTTCACAGGGCCCCAGTCGAAGTTGTCGCCCAGAAACGTACTCACCACAGCGCCGCCCCGGTATTTCATTTGGCCCGGGTGGTTGGCGTACTGGTGCGTAAGCGCGGTGATCTTTGCTGTGTCGCCATTGGACCAGTAATCGAAGTCGAAAGAAATAAAGACCTTGAAGCCCAATTTATCGGCCGCTTTGTAGGCGAGCGCCAGTTGCGTGGGGGTATAACTGTCGACGCTGGCACAGTTCAAAGCGAAGGCGTCTATGCCAATAGCTTGGGCGGCTTCTATGTCGGCGATCCAGTCCTTCATTTGGTAATCCTTAACTATTCCGACCTTGAAAAATGGTTTATAAATTGGTATTCATTCAAACAATAGATGCATCCTGGCTTACCATGAAGTGGGCAAAGACATATCGGTCTGATACCGGGGGGTCATCGCGTTTGACCCCAACGCTTGCGAACGTGTGGGCTGGGAAGATGCTGAGCACGAATATGGCGAATCGAAGAGATATAGTCCACTTCATGGTGTCTTAAGAGCACTTCAAATCGATTGGGTATGATAAAAGCCGACAGAACAGGTTTCATATGCCAGGGTCTATATCTTAACTCGCTGCGTTATTCACTCTTGTTTGGATTAAGCAGGAGGGACAGTCTTTCTCTGGCCAGCTCTTGAACCCTACAATGCATCTTAGAGGCTGATACTGTAGCTTTGGAAATAGGTATAACTCGTTCCTGCCCCTCAGAAATAAAGTCACGTCAGATGCTTAATCACATGATATGTTGTAAAACGCTCGTCTCCTGATGGGCGATCTCTTATCGAAACACGCGGATTCTTTAGGAACTTCTTATCTGATCACATTGATTGTTACAGCTCGGCGCTCGAAATTCTGTTTTAATCATGGTGTCAAGTTACATTAGGTATTTTAAGACTAACTATTCGTTTGCGATCGCTTTGAAACATGTCGCAAGACTTCAGCACCTACAGGTGGCTGCGTCTTGACTGCAACTCCTGGCGCAGTTGGCCGGTTAGAAATGAGGAGAGAGATGCAAGCACTGGCCAAAGACCACGCTTGGATCGAGTAAGCACTAGTAAAGAGCGGTCTTCGGTGATGCGATTTGAGAGTTCGAGTGTCCCAGCTAACATAGTTCTTTCTTCGAAGCAGATGATCGTCAACTGCGAAGTGTTGAACTGATGAATGTCGCTTAGTGCAAGAAAATGATTGTGCTCAACTTTCTGGCTCACGTTCCATGGTCTTATTCGACTATGTTTTGATGTTTTCTGCTAATGCCAATTTGCGTTTGTCGAAGGTCGATCTCTAATTCAGAAGAACACCAAGCGCACTGATGCTGGCCAAGAATATAGTACTGATACCTGGAGCTGCCAAATTCGAGTCCAATTGAGGCCGAGTTACCTAAAATTATGATCAAAACAACCACGTAGCCTTTCCATACAACGGAGAAGTACCTTTTACAATTCATGCATGTTAGAGTTGATAAATTCATTGAACATAAGTTTACCCGCATCCATGCCTAAATTACCCATAACAGCCAGTTCCTCTCCTACTGATTTCGTTACTTGCACGAGAATCTCTAGAGCATATGCTTGTTGTGGTGGACAAAATAAGCGGAATCGTGAAGTGCACTGGGATTTGTTCAACCATTTGAGAATACTGAGTTGATCATGTGTTGCATTAGGAATTTCGTGTCTACAAATACTGCCTTATTCTAATGAACATCTTTTCCGTTTATCGGTGGACTTGCAACTCATTCGTTCCAAACTTCTTAGAATTTGAACCCGTACGGCATTGCTTAGCTTAGCCCAAGCAAACGTTACCTATACACCCCTGAGTTTAATCTATCTGCTTTGAGTGTTTAGTTGATATCCTTAATCATCTCAAGTTCAGTGGGGCTATTCTGCACCAGAGATTAATTTGTCTAATGAGTTGGACTTAGCTGAATGGGTCTCTCTGAGCTAGGCATGACACCGAGACAAATGTCAGAATGCAAAGATCATTCTATAAAGGAGAATGGATTTTCATCAGCGACGAGGCAATAATCGTTCTTTGACAGCACAAGCAACCGAGCCCCAGCAACAGTCTAACTCAAACAATGCGATCCGCACTACGCTTATTACGATGGAAAACTCTGCAGACGAGTTGGTTATTAGAGATCTACGAGAGTTCTTTTGGGAAGGTTGTTCTATGACATCTCTTAATCTTGATAACCGCTTATTGACATTCAATATAAAACGATCTAGAACCTTTCCAAAAACGTGATAAAGGAGGCATTGATACGTGGTTTTTCTCCAAATTTTCGGAACGTTTCTGCAGGCAAGGCGGCCGACTGCTCGACCACATTGAGACCACTACAACAAATCTGCTATTATCCCGGCAAGCTACATGGGGGAATCCAAGCATTCTACCTCGATCAAGTTCTTGCCGATTGCTGTCCAGGAGCTGTCACGGCCAGTCTAGCTATTTCCTATTTACGACCGATCGACCCTCAGTCTCCTCTCAAAGTCAGTGCCTGGCCTGTCAAAGTTGAGGGTCGAAAGCTGTACATGGAGGCGTGTATCAAGGTGCTTGAAAATAGCACCGGGACCATGATCAAGGCTACTCATGCCAAGGCCTTATTTATCATGCCCAAGGCTTAGGATGTATGACTACAGCTCGAGCACATAACATTAGTCAGAAATGATCTAATGACATTGAACCATATCTCTAAAGGGGCAAAGATGACAACATAAAATTACCTCGCTTTTCGAAGTTGTAGCATTCTAGATGACTTGTACCAATCTGATTTCAGGCCTTTTTCTCCATTCATTTATATCCTATCATAGTATCTCATAAGAAGAGCTTTTTATCGGGATGACCTCGAGTCGAAATCTCATCTTCTAGATACTTATTCACCCTTTCCCATGCAGACTATTGTCGCAGTTGATTAATACCATATGTCTCCAATTTTGTCCTATTGCTACATTTAGTGATGCTCCACACAAATGGGGCCCACGCAACCCGTAGAGTGAATGGCCTTCCCATGCTTGGATCCACTAAACTGTAGACCTCCTTTATCATAATCCATTGTGAGCCAATCTGTCATTTACTGCCTTATGTAAGGGCAATCTTTATCATGAATCTTACTACTGTGAACATGCGGCAGCACCAATTCAAGGCAAGTTGTAATAGTGTACTTGCCGTGATTGAAAGCAAGGCGCTTTTGTCGACTTTAGTTGTGTCAACACCCCGTCCGTGTTTTCTCCATTTTGAAGGTTCAATAATCACAGTAGCTCTCACGACCTCTGGTGCCGCATGAGATAGTTTTGTAGAGCTTTCCCCCTCACTAGCATGCTTTTCAGGCCTATTTTGCAGATACAAGACGGAAAAAACACAGGTATGCTCCCGAATCCACCCCGGCCTCATGTTGTCAATCGAGTTAACAGCTTCTACAGCCATTGATAATACGCTCGCTTCTTACAGTGCCTTGCATAACTGCCATGCCTACCTAGACTATTTCAGGTTTCTTTTGATTCATATGCTATAAGCACTAATCTATATATAGTCAATACCTCTAGTACTGAACTCTGGGGCGCCGATCGAATACTATAATTTACTACGGACAACGAGTTGCGGCAATAATAGAATATTATTTAACCTATACTTCGAAAGCTAGGGGACAGTGGCCAACACACGTCGCTGCCTATAAGTCTCAAGACAGCCGGAAGCTTCAGGGATAAGATAGTTACTGGCGTTCCGTGCAAGCCCAACTATAAATATCAGTTACACCTGCCCTTAAACCGAGATAGTAATTACCGTCGGCTGCTGATCCAATATCTAGAGTCTTGACCGAATCCATCGTTGTTAGAATAGTATTCAGCAAGTTTATTTCTAGAGGTTCTTATGGGGACAATGGTAACTTACTTTAATACATTTTCTGCCATTAATCTGCCACCAGAAGTATATAAACAACATCCTGAGTTGCCAAACTTCGTCCTAAGACTACACTGGGTGATCTTTTTGCTTTCCAGTTTTATTGGATTCGTAAGTATCTATTCAGGAAATCAACAGTTCTTCCGGCGAATGCTGTTACTTCCATTTTCTGTTTGACTCATTACTTTGACTCGAAAGCCGTGGTAAGCAAATACTGCGGACCGGGATATCATTAAGCCGCATTCCCATAGTTATCAAATTCTTGGACACTGCTATGTAATACATTGAGAATCCAACATTCAACATTAGTACGAGCCTAGACCCAGCCTATGTATAGTATCCCGCATTATTCACGTCTCATATCGTTCTAGACTGATGACTACCCTGCAGTGTTACACGGCTGCCCTTCGGACATTCAGAGTAGTTCGTGTTTCTGAGAGCTCGAACAAATTTCTTAGTTCGTGATGAGATAGCTGCTGAAGTGACCCTTACTCGGGTCTTCTAGACCATTTTCTGACACCAAAGGCGAAGCGTATCTTTTCAAACATGACCCCTTGATAGCTCGTGAAACTAATTACAAGTGTGGTCACAGATGTATTCTAGTATACTCTGTGCCACTTGTCAATGCAGAAATGATGAAGACTGTCCGTGCTTGCGTACTGAAATTAAGTATTGTAAATCAACACTATAAGTCTATTTATACTCGTAATCACATAACTTCCTGCTTCGTACTAGGCGGGCTCTGGTATACGGGAATAGAGTATGAAAAGAGCCTGGGCTAGGTATGGCAGTTGTGCAAGGCACTATACGGAGTACATTGGCTGGGTCTCGGAAAGTATCACGAAATTGTTCATCTTTCTATTCTACCAACCTCGAAAAGGTATCGGAGGCGCATCTGCAAAAGGGTTAGGCTTCATGTTTATATTTTGCATACCTCGTTTGCTCTTGCAGCTGAGCCATAAGAGGTCATATGGCGAGTTGAATGCAGGGGTGAAAACCTGCAAGTCTGGCATTGGAAGACATTCACATCGCAGAATTGCACGGTGCCTTCCGGCTAACCGGCAACAACCGGACGAGGTTTTGGACCAATTCTATCTACGATGCTCAAAACGGCAAGGTCTTCCTACAGTTACCGAGACGAGGGCATAAAGCAGTTTGAAAAGCCACAACAACGCGACCATTGATTTTGCATGGTCCACCAAACGGATTAATCTTGAAGATTTCTCAGAAAGCAAAAGGCAGAATGAATCCATAATTGGCAGTATGTATAACCATAACTTAGTCAATCACATGGGGCATATCAAATACAATGAAGCGTGGGTGACAGTGGGAGTAGTGCTGCGAGTGGTAGCAGCCGCGTTAGCATGAGGATAGCGTTGTCTATAATGAGCACTGGTTTTACATTCTTAAGGTGCAAAGCATGGTGTTTAATCGTTGAAAAAACAAGTGCATGGACTTACCACGCTGTTATTTGCTGATTGATATGACGTGGCTTTCGGTCTAGTGGATAGACCAAGAAGAGAAAAGCCTAAGTTGGTATTCGTTCAAAGCAAAAAACTTATTTAAGTCTAGCAACCGGCCGTTTGGGAGGCCTGTGGTTTCCCCAAAACTTGACTTTTTGCCCCATGGCTCCAGAAAAGGCTGCATGCCGTTGGAAACACATTTTTGCCAACGTATCTACTTCAAGTCTTGCGAGAATTCTGCTTGTGATAGCAGAGACCCTGCACCCGAATGCAAGACCGATTTTCTCAAATAGGCGCCAACAACCCAACTGGTGGCCTCTAGAAATCACATATACTCACCCGAGGAACTTGAAAAGAGAGCGTTAGTGCAATGAGGTCTCGTACTGAGCTGTCCACTAATATCATTCAGATCGCTTGAAGGTGATAGTTCACATGCTTGACGCCTATAGCTTAGTTGACACGCACTTGGCTGGAGTATTCCAGCAGAGGACGCGAGTACAGCTCGAGGATATCTCACTTTTCTGTAAGGCATTAGAGAAACACAAAGTCAGCAGTAGGTGTCACCCTCTTGTCCGAATATTTGCTGCATCTGTTGAGACGTATAGCCACGCCAAGCAATTTTGATCGCGATCCGGTTTCTAGATCCGCCTCTTTGATCCGCCATGCCATAGGATACCGGTATTCCCGAAGAGAATTACTGTGGCTTCATTACTCTCTACCAACAACGAAACTGCTCAAGACAAACCTAGGACTTGCGATGTTTACTCTCAGAGATCATTTCCATAACTCCTGCGCACGCGACTCCTAGTCTTTGAGTTAGTCTTCCTAGCATCCGTCGTTTCTCCAACTGAGTCTTAGAACCTTTCCACGAGCGGTCATATACAACGGATTATCATCAAGAGTCATTTCCCCATGAATCTCTTCGACATTTATGAGCAGAGCTGTCTCGTGTGCCGTCTCGGTGTCCATGTTGCTGAGCCATTCAATCTCAACGGTATGACTACTAGATCCAGCCTCTATGGTAATCTTAAAGGGGCCAGCAAAAAGAGGCCCACACGTCCCATTGGGTCCCACAGCTTCACGGAGCTTGTGACCTTGGTTGATTTCGCTTGAGGGAAATGAAGCCCTTTCATGTTTCGGTTCTGTGGAAGAGCTTTTTTCGATAGAGTTTTCATCGCCAGAAATTATTGATTCCGACTTTCTTGTCGAATCCAAGCATTGACGCTCACTATTACCATTATGAAAGCACTCTTGAGAGCTAGACCTTTGTTCCAGTTCGGATCCAGTCATTAAATCCTCCTGATCGCATTCACTTCCCTTCACTGAGAGGTTTCCTGTTGAAGTTGTGCCACACGAAGGGAGTGTAAAAAGCGTACTTTCAGCCGGAAGCGGATGAAGGACTCTACGCCGCGTTGCTAAAAGTGCAGAACAGCTCGCCTCCAATTTGTTCTGCAATGCTTGGCAAAATCTTTGTTCTAAACCCTCAAGCTGGGGTAGACAGGGCAAGCGCCATGCAGGGTAAAGTCTTCCATGGGATCTGGGTGTATACATTTTGCCGTAAGTCTCGATAAATAGGTTGCACAGAAAGCAGGCATCTTTACTGGAGCAGATGATTCGCGGAAGTCGCCGTCCCAGCAGTTCACCGTAAGCGATGATTTGAACCTCGGCATGGATTTTCGCTTTCTTCAGGTTGTTCTCGACCTGTCGACAGAATTGGTTCTTGGCCTGTTTCTCATTCATTTCAAGGACGCTACATATCTCTTTCAAAAGCTTCTGCTGTGTACCTCTGTAGCTCATCTCGGTGATCTTCTTAACCAGATCTGGGGTATAAGTCTCCGTATACGGCCTTGCGAAAGCCTCTGCTGGCAGGTAGACAGGTACCGTGCGCATTTTCCGAGCCAGAGGGACACACTTCGCTATGCGATACAAAAATCTAGCAGCTTCCCGATACCGAGAGATTTTGCCAACAATGTTTGCCATGCTCTCCCTCGCACTAGGGCTCATATGGATGTTGCGTATACTATCGAGAAGGGCCTGGAGCTGACCGATTTGTTGTATCCTGTAGATACTTTCCACTATTTCTACCAGTCGTAGAGTGACTTGATGTCGAGACCAGGAGTCAAGAGCCTTTCTGGTCTCCTTGGCCCTGTTGCTCACCGTTTCTAGGCTCTCGAGTAGACTGCTATCATGCGGGAGGTGTTTCTTAAGATGTGTGAGAGCCTGCCCAAGCTCGTAGAGAGTATCCTTAAAAGATCTTTTCATCCTGTCTTTAGTTGAAGGACAAAGCCGCAGTCTGGACAGGATACGAGATGAACACATTGAGACAATAAGTTCGAAGATCTGGTCCTTGACACTTGAACAGTCACCTGGTTTAGGTCGTTAATTCTATAACAAGCAAGATAGATACTAACACTTACTAACAGATACCTTCGCAAGAAGGGCGAAAAGTGCATCAAATCCCCGCTGGACTTCGTGAAGCACATCATTCCCATCGAGGGCGGTGACCTTATTGATTGCAAGTACCACGTTCAGAGCATCACTCTTGGAATCCTCCTCGATGCATACGGCGGGAATGTATTCGGCATCGTTACGGGTATGGGCGAGGAAAGCCAATGTACTGGCTATCTGGCGCTCGTGGTCCAAAGAGAGAGTATGCCGATCATCTGACGGAGGTACTTGTATTTGAGGGTTTGACAATGGTGGGTGTGGAATCGAGTGAAATAGTGAAGCAATCGCTATGTTCTCAGCACAGACAATAATCGATTCTGAGACTCGAGACATCGTTCATCTCTTTGAAGATGACGAGGAGGGAGTGTACAGTATCCGGGATTTGAGGAGGAGAAGCTTCTTAGCCTATTACCCCGCTCACGATGGCAGGGGATCGGCGGGCTCCGTCTGCCTCGTCCACTTTGGTGCAAACGACCTTATCGCCGCGTAATCCTTGCAGGGGTATTACCATGGCGCAGTCACGCTATGATTTAGCCGCCAGATGTTTTTGCTGTCAGAGGATAGATAATTCACACACTATGCTGCTGCCACCGTGCCGGAGAGTGGATGAAATGGGAAATGGACGAGGGTAGACCTTGAGGTGCAAATTGCGATTATAAAAGAACCCGACTAATCGAATTCAGCATTGGCTTCTCTCAGGTCGTGTTACCTTCAACCCTCCCGAGCAGGCACGTGGAAGCTCGCAATGATTTTGCAGCCCATCTCAAGAGAAATTCATCTGTGCTCATCGCTCGGTGCTTTTCTCCGACTCTGTTTGGGTGGGAATGAAACTGTGTGACACCAACTATTGTTGCCAGGCTACACGATCGCGAAGTCCTGCTGAGCTTTACTGTAGAATCACCTCATACCTGCTATCGACGGGCTGAGGCATGTCGGCTGTAAAAGGCTTTCGAAAAAAACCCCTTCGATACCTTGCGCCTTGTAATTTCTTAGAGTATCCTATGGCTCGCTTCGTGGTTATTATCTACCGGGGTTTCTGGGTCTCCCAATTCGTTTCTGCGAAGGACTATTTTGTTGCGGATGCTTTTTCCTTCCGTCATTAAATCAATTGCTTGAATGACAGGTGTCTCTGCTCGTGGTGCTCTTCAAATGAGAGGAGTTCACAGTACCTAAAAGCCCGAAGTGGCTAGCCACCATACCGGATGAAAAGAAAAATGATAGTGTAATTTTCTGTATTGTCGCTGTCGACTTGCTGTCTCTGTATCATGTTACATAAAAGTACAAATATGTTGGTGCAGAATCATGCGGCGTGAGCTTTTGTTACAGCCTGAACCACGTACGATCATTGTTTTCGTTGAGACGTTACGTAGTGAGACGAGTTACGGTACACGCGGCACCCCATGTTATCACCCACCTGGCACTCACACCGCTCCATGTCATCGACAAGACTTTCCTTACATCGATAATGCTGCGTATGCCCTCTTCAGAATCCGCTGGTTAAATTCGGTCCTGGCGACAGATACAAATGGGCAAGCAATTCAGTGTCGGGAATATTTCTCTTTTTTATGAATAATTCTACATTGGTGATGCTTGATCCTCCAACCGTTGATTTTATGACAAGCCCGCCTTGCTGTCACCGTTGTGGTTTATTGGTGAACAAAGGAAGTGAGAAATTCGATTTAGACTCAAAGTCATGTCCTAAGGACAGACTTTGTCTGCCTAGTGAGATGACATGACTGTATGTTCGATGCACTGCCATCTGCTCCTTGCTTGCACTTAACACCCTTTGAACTCAGCAGTAGATACAACTTTTTGAATAAGTAGCAATCCCCGCCTGAAACACTTGAGTTCAATCCTACGAAGTCAGTGGCCTGAGCTTTTCCATAGTTATTCTATCTTCTTTGTCTTGGAGTGCCATCATGCCTTCCAACAGCCAGAATCCACGGGTGAAGGATAAATCTTTTCCCAATGCACTTAAAGATCTGGAACTATCGGCAGCAGCTGTACTTCAACACCTTAAAACGATTGATACTTTTGATAACATGCAAAAGCAGATCGATGACCTCACACGTCAGCTATTAGAGGCCAATCAAGCATTGGAAAAGATGCAAAAAGACCAGAGACAGCAGGAGCTACTCCAAGAGTCAATGACGGCGTCATTTGAGAAACGGGTCATACAATGGAAGGAAAGAGAAACCGACTTGGAAGCTCAGATCAACGACTTGAAAAATAAAGCTAAATCAACTGCCCGACACCAATTACAAGACATGGAAAAAAAGGCAGAAGGATACGAACAGACGAAGCGCAACTTGGAAGTCCAACTTCTGCGGCAAAAGACCCAGACCACCGAATTAGAGCTTCGCTTGCAGGAAAGTCAAGCGGAGCTCCAAGAGCTCCAAGAGGATATTCAAATTATCCATAATGAATCTGATTGGTAAGCAGGTACAATCTATGTTGAGACCGACAGGCTCATTGTTACGCAGCTCCAAGTCCTTTGAAATGCTCGAAACATCTCTATACAACCTTGCTCAGAAATTCTTCACAGAACCTCTGGAATATGTTGACCAAGTATGTCATGAATGTTAATCTTTAAGACCCTGAATGTAGGCCAATAGTTTGTTTGACACAACTCCAGGATTCAGATCGATTTCATCATTCCCTCCAATCAATATCTATCTCCTACAATGACCACCGTCTCGTCCCGCGCGCTCGAATGGCACAATCCCAAATCGTACACCGGCTCGTTACTGATATCTTCAAACCCATCTGCCTAGGATCGCCGAAAGGTAGCATGAGCATGGGCGATGCGCTCCAAAGATGTGATAGAATTACAAGTCGCCAAAAAGCAATCCTCCGATCACTTTTGATGCTCGCCTTTGAGCCAGAAGAAGTACGACTTCAGAACGAGACAATCCAATCCGTTTCTTCAGACCTGCTTCTGGAGGTAAAAAAGTTCTTGCGACCGGAGGACGAGAGCTCTTTTCGTCAGGAGCTATTGGACTTCCTTTCATCTGCCGCCCAAGTATGGAATAACTTCAAAAAGGGCTCGGAATGGATCATGGCAACGTCCAAGCTGCATTGCTATCCTCATGGCTGGAGAATCATTAAAGAGAACTTGGTTCATGGGACTCCAGCATATGCATCCAGCTGCCCTTCCCTAGTCATTTTCCCCCAGATCATCCGCGACGGGACCGATCCTTTGCTGTACCACGGCTCTGTATGGTCTTCGTCTTCTGATACAGACGCCCACCAACGAGAACACCGTAGTCGGCGAGTGTCGGAGTCTCGAACTCGCAGGAATTCAGTTACGCTGAGGTCCTTGGTGGGTGCTGGTGAATCCACATGTCAGAATTCGGAATCGGAGAGATCGCCTAAGCCGCTCATAAAGCGGCCCCTATTAGAGACTAAAGGGAAGGGAAAAGATAGGTCCACTCAAAAGTCGGAAGTTTCATGATCATAATTCCGGCCATACAAGGAGATCTATTGGAAGCATTGGGGTGATTTCTCTCGATTCACAGGCTCTTCAGAGGCATTTTCTTTGAGTCCGCTTCAAGTGATAATTGATGAAGTGTCTCAGGGTGATATGTGGGTGCAACCGCGCTTTCCTTTATTTAGTGGTTAGTATTGGCACATTGTCTATGATGTGTGGCCACATCGCGATTTTCCCACCCAAGAAGTAGTGCTGGAAGCCAATTCGCGGATTTACTGCTTTGCGAGTGCGGACCGGTTATATTAGTCATCACAGGTGATTCAAAATTTATTGTGCTGACAATAGATATAGTCATACTGTTTTATTAGTGGCAGCAACACAGTAGTTGATAAAGTCACGATTTTTGTTGCCAATGTGAACAAAGAAATTGCCAAAACTGCGTGTTCCCTTCAAGCTTTTGCTGCTCTGCCCGTGGCCGAGTCCTCACGATCATTGGCTTATATAATGCATTTAGCGGGTCAACAGCCGAAACTTGCTTCTTGCAGTCTTTGATGAGGAACGATACTGGAAACACAACCCTTGAAGGGTAGAAACATTGGTTGTAGGACAGTTATGGCGTTAAGGTCTTCGATACTAGATAATAAAAATATTTCACCTTGATGCAGAATAGATTTCGAGATAGGAAAGCGATTTACCATGCTTGATGACTTGTGTCGTGGCTGCTGTTCGATCGACTAAACAGTTCCGTACAGTATAGCCTTAGTATTGGGTTCTAACCTGTACAGATGTAATGCCAAAATCTGACGATAGTAGTTGTAACCGAGCATCGTGCGTCAGAGCGCATCTAGACGTATGACCTCACTTCCCACGCCTCGCATTGTTTCTCCCTGCGCGCCGCCCACTTATCCGAGGAGCAGAGAATCTCGAACCATGAGACGGAGAACCGGCTGAATTATTTATCCGCCTTGCCGTCCCGCTAGGCTGCTTGCGAGAGGTGTGAACCTGTCGTTCCTCGGCCTCCACTCGTCAATCGATAAATGAACCCTTTCTCTCCAGTACGGCATTTTCAGATTGACAGATCTTTCCTCGCGAAAGATGAAATTTCCATTCTGCAGATCATTTCATTTCTCCTTCATGCTAATGTAGTCTTGTGTTGTGCTGCTTCTCCCTCTTGCTTCTGCTGCAGTTCTAGGACACTCCACCAATATTAAGTCTGCTGGTTCACCAAATAATTTATTTCCTTCCCATGGTTCGAGTTGGAAGCGTACGTAGGAATAATGCAGCGCTCTAATCCTATTTCCTTGAATCCTAGCTTAAATTCTCCTGCACCAACGAAAGAGCCGTCATTCACCTGACCAAAAAAACAGTGATTCTGTCTGTAGTCATAAATGAGGCCTTACTTTCTCTTTGACGATTTTCTAAATCCCCGATAAATGTCTCGTCCCAGGCTATTTAGCCAAGTAAGTCGCAGCTGACTACTATAAGGTAGGTAAGACGAGTACATACAAGCTATCCCGCTAGACGCGGGCCGGTCCTGGATCTCGCAGAGGCATCGTGAAAAAGATTAGTTTATTCCACTCTGACAGGACAGCAAGATAGAACCCTAGACGCCGCACATGACGGGATGTTAGAGGTTCAAGCTGGCTAAGAAGGCGTCAAGTTCGCGGTGAAGCATTAAGAGAAGACATAGAAGTGCTTTTTCGCATCCTCTCATGCCTGGATTCAAGGTAGAAATCATTTTAATGTCACCCTTCATACTGTAATTGCCTGGATGCCTTCAAACCACATTCATGGGAGCTAGATAAAGAATTGTGGCTCTTTCGAGCTCCGCAGAGAGCCACATAGCCTCTACCGCATTGTGCCATCAGGGTGCGGAACTGGCAGGTTCTTGAATATAAGTATATCTGTCCTTTTCCTTCTTTCCCTTGACCCTAACATAGTCCAGTTGATATAAAGACTAATGTCTTCGGTACCCATTGAGAAACTTGGCGCGGACGCTTTTTCGAAAGAGTCTTTATTAGCATTATCCGTCCCCATAGGATTTTCTTGGTGTTTAGCTCTAAATGGTTCAGGACGCTGTTCCTCGAGGGCGCACGCCTCGGTCAGCTGTTCATCTTCGGCAGCATACGGCTCAGGGCACTGTTCCTCGAGGGCACATATTGTGATAGAAGTATCAATCCGCACCATGACAGCTCATCATGAAACTGTTCTGCTTCTCGTAAAAACAAAATCTGCCGGAGAGGAGATCACAAGTCCTTTTGATATTGAAGAGAGTGAAAGAGAGTCCCCAAAAAGGCTGCAGCTCAATGTCCGCATTACGGCGAAAAAGCGACAGTAGACGAGGTCCAGCGTGCTTCCAGGCCTACCTGCCTATGTTCCTACACCTATAAATAATAAGTCAAAATACTCAGCGTGAAGTGGAAACATCGGTAAATGAACGCGTTTGCCGTATTTCACTAGACCATTCATAATCAGAAGATGAATTAAAAGATGAGAGAAACCCATTTTCAGCCCAGTTTCCAGCTCAGAGCCGCACATCAGAAAACCAGGAACCAAGGAATAATGTGAAGCTGCCAATTAAAGTAGTCGAAGTTTCGACCCTAGAGTCTCCGTCTCGAAGCTGTGCCTACTCCGACTAGAGAAGTAGCCCAGGTATTTTGATCGAGGATAACCTGCGTACCAATGTCGAATGCTCGGTTGCGCAGCGCTCAAATAGATAAACTAGAACAATTGGTCACTGCATGAGAGGGTTCTGGCCCGAGACTTACCTAGCCAGCACCGACGCTAAATCTTCATTCGAGTTGGGGCAATGGCCAACTCTACACCCTTCACACAGCTCACTATCATGCGGACCTCTGCTCTGGCCAGAATGATCTGTGGCTGTACCTGAAGTCCGTTCCATTTTTTGAGCCAGTATGTCACTCTTTCCGCATAGCACTCAGAATCTAGGATCAGTCGACCCACGGCTCGGCAATTTCTGCATCGCTGATGATACACTCGCGCATTATATCGCTCTTGGGAGTACATGCGAATTGTAATCGCTATTTTTTTTGCTCGACCACCCGCTGGAATCACATCCGCGATTTTGATATATGAATCGACCCATAACGTTCGTGTCCTTTTCCTCAATGTTGATATCTTCATCATCGACATCCAAGAATTCTAGCTGAAGCCCTTCCTCGTCTAACAACCGTGTCACGTCAGCATGAAGGTTTGGGTGGAGCGACCACAGCTTCGCGGCTTTGCCTCCCTTCCGTGGCATACTGATTTGGGTGCTGTAGTGGACTTTCGTATGTCAAAAGCTTGCATTAAGAATTCGGAACATGGCCTTCGTTGGGTTATAAACTATTCCTGGGAGAAAGCCTGCCCCGCTTGATTGCAGCAGATGTAATTCCTGTAGACAACACGCCACTGCCAAAGCAAAAATTGATTGGCGGACGTGTCTCATGCGGTATAAAGCGCCGCCATAGACATACTCAGCGCCAATACCCCGCCCGGCTAGCGTCGCAATGCACAGAATCAAAACTGAGTAGACTCCAACATTTCTCTTTCACTATCCTCCAGACTGCTGCTAGCAGAAACTTCAAGTCATCATCCAAGATGGAGAGTCTGGCGGAAAAGCTGAGACATACTGTTTTAAAATGAGACAAACATAGTGCCAGAACAGCTGCTGTTCAATCCATCTGCCGACAGTGCAATACTCGCCAGATGTTCCACATTACCTTTTCCGCGTGCTTTCTCCTTTTTCGGATGGAAGAACGGATGAAATATGAGCGGTACCCATAGCAGCTCAATCAAAGGTAGCCGAATATTAAATGAGACATGATTAGGCACCTTGAGTCAAGTAAGTAATTGCCTGGCACGCCCTTGACCGTTTTTGAAAAGTGCTAACGGTATGTTAGTAAACTCAGGTTAACTAACGTAATCGGTAAGCGAGTCGGCCACGTAAGCGAGTCGGCCACCCCATCAACCACCACCACGCCCACAAAACTGCCTGTATACAGACATCGATTTCTCCACCAAAAATGCCTCGATCATCAAAAATTTCAGTGGAACAAGAAGGCAGGCTCTGCCTCGCAGTTGAGGCTATAAAAAAAGGTCAAATTCGCTCAATTCGCAAGGCTGCAGATACTTTTAAAGTTCCGCGTTCAACTCTTCAAGATCGTTTGAATGGCATCACGTACCGCAAGGAAACACGCGCCAATTGCCATAAACTGACTCCTTTGGAAGAGGAATCACTTGTTAAATGGATTATATCACTGGATCAACGTGGCGCACCGCCAAG